TATGTGATGATAACATATATTTATAGAAGTGTTATCTATATCCCTAATCACACACACACATATACACACATAAACACACATATACTATATATATATAGTACTGTAAGTCAACGTTATCTCAATAAATACTACTAAATGGTTTTGAAAGAACTCAAATAACTATCAACAGGTAAACTGAATTATACATGAATTATGGCATATTCACATGGTGGAACAGTCTACAGCAATAAAAATGAACACTTGATACATGCAGATGAAAGAAGTCAAGCATAAAACACTACAAACACTTCCTGTTCACATGAAGTTGAGAACAAGCAAAAATTGATTTTACAAGAATAGGGGAAAAGATTTGCCTGGTATCGTTGACACAATAGATTTGGTAAGAATAAAAAACATCACCATGAATAATCATTTGCAATAAAAGCAAAATTTATTCTGAGATTATATAAACAAAACATAAAGGCAAAGCCTCAATAGTAACTCTTAGAAAAAAATTTGAAGCATTACAGAGGAATATTATGGGCCTGTCACTAAATATAACCGTAGCTTAAAAATAAAAGTAGTATGAAGATGAAACACAATGAGTTTTATGTTTGAAGCAGACAATCTTTACACTAGTGAGTCTATAGAGGCTAAAATTTATATGAAAAACTTGTTGAAATTACCACTATAAATTATGCATCATTTTTGTAAATAAAAATACTGAGATGTGCCCAAGCAAAGGATAGTTATTTTTACAAGTTACTGAATAATATGTTATCTAGTGAATATATTGAACAAAAGGCATCTCTTACTTAAATTCACCATCTATTGCAATTGCAAAGTATGATCTCTGAAGGAGAAAATATATTTTAATCTATATTTTTCATGTCAAGCCTGTGAAACCCTCCAGTTAAATTTACATTAAAATGCTCAATGGGTTAAAAGCACAGCACTGTGAAGCTAGCCACATTGCTTGGCAGACCTCTCCTGACCCGCCCGCTGCTCCCCTCAGTAGTATATTTCATCGGTTTGCCTGTTCTGCACCCCACTATGTCTCTGATGAAGCCTCTCGCCGCCCCTGCACCTCTAGCCTGTACCCCAGTTCTGTATGCATAAGTAAATCTAAAAATAAATTTTATTTGCTGTACTTGTATTTTCATTTTATCATTAACCTACCTTCCCACATTTTTTCTTTTTACCTAATGTCCCAACATTTTTCTCACTCCCTCCTACATTTTTTCAAGTACTCCAAGGTTTCCCTTCTCTGTCTAGACTGACTTCCTGAAATCCCCACCCTACTTACTTGTCACAGTAGTCATCCTGGGACTTCCCTTCACTGTAATCTATTTGACACTTGGATCTTGGTCTCAGAATCCCAAGCTTTCTTACTTAGCTTATTCCTTTGTTTTGGTGAAGTGTGTCTTGAAGTGTGTCCTCTGGTAGCCTCCTAAAAACGGTACATAATTAGATGTGATTTTGAAACCATGCACGTCCAAACTTTATTCAAGCCCATATTTGGGTTGTCTGGGTTCAGAATTCTAGAATGGAAATAATTTTTCCTCTTTAAATTTGAAGACCTTGCTTTCATGGTCTTCTGGCATTTAGTCCTGCTATTAATGAGTTTCTAAGTGTCATTCTGAAAGCATCTTTTTATATAATGCTATTTCTCCCCTTTGGGCACTTTTAGGATCTCCTTTAATCCTGCCATCCTGAAATATAATCTGCTTTTGTGTTTGTTAATTCATTATACCAACCACTTGATGAATCTTTTTAATTTAGGGGATGATGGGGAAATGGTCCTTAATTTTTTCTTTTTTCTCACATTGGACCTCTTATTTATCAAATGTTGTATAACACTCTGAATCTTCTACATTTCATTTGTTTTTTCCTATTTTCCTTCTCTGCCTTTTTGTTCTACTTTCTGAAATTTCTTCCACTTATCTTCCATCACATCTACTGAACGCTTAATTCTGGCTCCTATTTCTCTAGTACTTTTCTGTCCTGATTGTTCATTGTTTATAACATCTTGTTTTCATACCATGGGTGTAATATAATCTCCTGGTTTTGAGACTGTTCTAGTTTCTTTTGGGAGTTTTGTGTTCCCTGCATTATTTGCAATATTTTCCAGATTCTTTTAGTTGTTTTGTTTTTTATCTTTCATTGTTGAAGTCTAGTGACTTTTGGCTAGTAAGTTACAAATCAAGTGACTGGAAGTTGTATATGAATAAGCAGGTCTTATGGTCTCTGAATTTCACTGTAATTAAAAAAAAAATCACATGGCAAGCTATTTTTATCAGTTGTTCATCTTGCTGGATGGGGTGGGCAGGGCTGGATATATCCAGTTGCCCGATTCTGTAGTGGGGTGGAGAATGGGCACTGAAGACTCGTGAATATTAACATTCCTCAATTCTCTTTTCCGCATAGAGCCCATGACCACCAGCTTTTGCTCCTTCCCACATGCTGGTCTAAGTCCAAGTCGGGATTTGGTACTCCTGGACCCTCCAGTCTTGTTAAAAAGAGGTATAGTTGCCTGGTTACAAAAGTGGGGCAACACATATACTTTCAAGTAATCCCCTTGTTCATAACTTGCTCCCCACTCCCCATCTTCCAGGGTGCCTTGTTCTTCAAACCTTGGGTCTTTGGGGAGTTCTGAAAGGAAAATATGTGTTCCAAATTTGTGGACCTTTCCTATGATGACAAGTGCCAGAATTGTGCCACCTAGCAAATATCTAAAAAGAAAGCAATACACTTAAATCTTTTCCTTTATAATAAAGATGAGAAAGTCACTGCTAAAAACTCATACACAAAAACCACAAATCCAAAGTGCCGGCTGAGATAGTATTTAAAAAATTTTGTGCCTGGCGATATTTGAAAGGTCACGTGATTGTTTTAGCCAGGTACAAAAATTCTTGTATCTGCAATTGGGCTTCCTCTTCCACCTCTCACAGCAGCTGTACCCTGTGCCGTAGGATCTCTTTCCCCTCAAGTATTGGAGATAAGACAGCAATGTGTGATGGGAAGAACTGGGTTGTCTGCTGGGAATAGCTGCATGCCTACAGCTGAATCTATGTTACCTAAATCAACACTAAACTTGTAGGGTTTCCTGATAAAATCTAGGATGCCAGTTAAATATGATTTTGGGTTTTTTTTCCTGGTATATATGTCGTTCCATATTTCATTGTTCACCTGAAATTCAAATTTAATTGACCATCTTGTCAATTATTTGCTAAATCTGGCAACCCAACACATTTAAACAAATAACACGAGATGTGATTATCTTTATGCCCAGGAACACGGTACAACTTCCCAGATGATCCCAGGAATCTTCGTGTCATGTGTCTTCCCAAACTTTGACCCAACCCTACCTGAGCTAACATGTTACACTGACTACACGTTGTTTGGGAGCAACAACTCTGCTGTTTGCTTCGAATTATTTCATCATCAGGTATTCCTTCCCTATACCTTACTGAAAAGTACTCATTGCACTTTCAGCTAATAGAAAATGGGTAGTCTCCAGGTATCAGATCATTGCGGTAGTTTTTTGTGCATTCCCCAAACCTTCATACTACTGATGTGCCCCTGCTGCCACCACCTGGAAGAGTGGGGTATTACATTCAAAGACCAGACAAAGTCATAGCGCCATTAGCCAAGATGGCTTCTAAATGGGTAGAGATGCACCACAGATTTTCCTTCTAATAGCAACTTGACACAGATGAAATAGGCAGTGGCTGACATCAGCTAATGTAGCTTCTCAACTACTCTCGGTGCAAAGGGTGCTCATTGGTGGAACTGTATGTCAGTAGTTGCAACAAAATTATCGCATGAGGTCTCTGAAGTTACCCAGCCTTTCTGGGCTTTTTATACAGTCTAGTAGTATGAACAAACACCGTGGCATGGCCTATTGGATTTAGCACACACTTCTGAAAAACCTGTTCATTCCCTTAGCAACTGCAGGGCTTATGGGACTTAATTATGAGGAGGATATTGTCCATCTGCATTTCCATTGCACTAGAATGGCTGCTGCTTTCACTTTCTATGATTCTCCATTACAAGCCATTTCAGGTGCTTAAAGGTGTTAGGTCTAGATCCAAGAAAGCAGAACTGGTATCAGTGGTCAAAAGCTTTGGGATAGTTTATATTGGTTAAATGTATTTTAAAATCAATTTCTTACGAGTAGTATTTTTTATTTCCTTTGCAGTCCCAGTATCTGCATTAATGCAAGCATGTCATAATACTTGATGAATAACTGATCTAGTGAAAGATTTAAAAAGGATGGGTTGTTCCAAAACATACTGAGTTCTCTAACACTGGAGTCAAAAATAGAAAATCATTTTAGATAAAAGAGAATATATCAATAAAAAAATAACCCAAATGGTTTCTAAGGCTCCTACTTATTTACCTGAATCTATATCAAAACATTCTTTTCCTAGAGAAATTCTGTGATTGAACCTTCAGCAGGATAATCCCCTAAATACATTTCTAAGTTTTGACCTCTTCCTGCCATTTTCTTTTATTCTCTTATGAAGCTGGTGGTGTTAAAAGAGAGAACCGTGGTCTCCTGGGCTCAGGGAATCTGGGCCCAACAGGATCATGCCTACCCACACCAAAAGCGAACAGGACCTTTAAGTAGCATGCATGCTTACAGATTTGGAAATCCTCTTTCCTTATCCTTCAATACACATTTCTAGAGGATCAATTCCTACTTTATCCTAATGGGAAGGCCCAGCAGTGTGTATGAGTGGCAAATTCACCCATCACCTGACATCCGGAAAGGCTTAGTCAGGTACATAAAAACTTGTGCAAACTGGATTTACTTAACATGGATAAACAAATGGGTTGACAGCTGGGTCTTGATTGACCTTTTTTTCAAGTGTGTTTCATTCCTAGAGCGGCAGTCATCTATCTACCCACTACATGTGTATGCTGCTCCCACTGGCTCTATTTACAGAATGTTGATAATGCCTTAAGCCCAGCAGGGCCACTTCATTTGTTGAAAACAAATGACCATACTCTGTTCAGCATTTACAAAGCTGTTGGTTTATTCAGCTGCAAAGATGAGGAAACGTTCCTTAGAGTGAATAGCAAAATGAGTTCACAATAGACGCATTTTTATTGATCGGAGTGTGTGCGCGTGCGCACACACACACACAGAGGAGCATATTGATTACAAAAATATCAACATACTTTCAGACCTCCCTCCCCCTTTCCCATTTAAAGACGGAACAATTTCTTGTAACATTTCAAAAACCATAAAGCAATTTTTTTTACAGACATCTACACAGAATAGTTTCTTATACATTTATTTTACACTAAAGTTATCAGTTCAGTAATTTTCCACTAACAAATGTTTTTACCACCTACAATACTCTTTTTCCTTAAGATAACTAAGTCTCAGTAAAAATTTTCATTAGGTTATAAACATTCTCTCTTTAAGATTGTTATTTATTTATAGATGTGATTCCAATAATGATTCGATGCTTTGATGGCACATTGTATACAGCACTTAATATGGCCAATAGAAAAAATAAAACTAAAATAAGAATAAAGATAGATCTTTAACAACCTATTTTCAGATTCTCTCTTTATTGTAGGTGTGTGAAAAGATTCTCAGTGGTTTCATGCCAAGATTACATTGATTTCTGTTCTGATTAATTTAAATAAGTACAGCAAGACTCTTAGAAGGATATATATTCCTTGCTTAGCTAGAAGAAAGTCTAAAGCTAAATTAAACATCATAGAAAAATAATGATGCTAAAAAACATCAACCTCAGACTGTATTAGACTGAAATGCTTTGTATCAAGATTCTTAACTTAGAAAGGTTCCTGAAGTTTGCAAAGGGTAAGTGCATAAACTATCACTTCAGGAAACACTATACAAATAAAATGCTCCAGTCCACTAGCAGTTCAAGTGAAGCATAATGTCCTCACTCCTTTCTTACTGCTCTTCTGAAATGTGTTTTATTATCTCACGACTAAGGTCAGGTGCAGGAAACGACTGCTAGAGCAGGTGTCTGTTTGACACAAACCCTAAGGTATGTAGTTATAGGCCGGTCCAGTCCTAGCAAGCCGGCAGCGCCTGTGACAGATTCATGCTGTATCACAGATACCCTGACAGGTCTGGGGTGAGTAGACTGGCTTGGAAACTGCATTGTCTCCACAGCATGAGGAGGCACAACTGGGTGCCTTATCGAGATGTATCTAGATAAACCCCTAGCTCCATCATTTGCTTTTGTCTAGTTATTCAATTTAATTCACCTACCTCTCTAGCAATGAACATCAGAGTATGCTCTGAAAGGTGTGACTGACTTCCACTTCCCATAATGGGGCTCTGAGACTGGGTGGCAAAGGGGGTGGCGGCCTATTGTTTTCTTCCAATCAAGAAAAATATTTAGTTATCAGGAGTCCCCTCAGAAAGCAAAGTGGGGAAAGAACGAATGCAGAGAACAGTCAACTTCCTTCGTGTAATATGGTTGTTCACTGACATTCTCATTTTATCCACAGTGCTGATCCAAGAGCTTACTCACAACCCACATTTTCTACAGTAAAGTTAGGGGCTCCCTGGGAATACATTCTGTTCCTGGTAGTACTTCGGCCCGTGAGGCGAGAGCAATATCTATTTAAGAAGAGAGCAGTCTCTCAGCTGCGGGCTGTGGAGCTTTGTACTCCTTAACGGGCAACATGAGCGCTACCTGGCAAACGGCAGCCCTTTACAGCGATGCATTTAGGAGTTTGTTAACTGCCTTCTGGAAGTCAGTATAGGAATAAGTGGTGTTGATGGGTTCAGTACGGGTTGTCTCCTTAACTGTTTTAGTTAACCAGCCACAACAACAACCAGAAACACATGAGTTCGGGGTCTGTTTTAGGTAGTCGAGTATGGGGGTAGCTCTGCTCAGTGTTCGACTTAACTGCCTGGTGGCAAATTGCAGCGCTCCATTTAGAGTGGCCTGGCTTCTAGAAAGTCGGCTGGGACTGGTCAGGGGCTTCTGAAAAGGTGGAACTCCACATGAAGCCAGAGGGGGCCACTCAGGAATTGGTTCCAATTTGGGCACACAGTGGGAGCAATGGGAGAGTCTCAGACCTATCTCCCGAAGTATATGGACAGGCGTGCTTGGGTCCAGGAGTTTAGCGTGATAGAGCCAGGAATTAGGGTTTAAAGGTTTCCAAGTGGTGGAATATTTTAAAAGGCACTTAACCTGCCACGCAAGGCTCTCTAGAGGCGTGAGGTTGGGCATCACAGGTTTATCTTCTTCAGAGGAATCCCACTCTTCCCCAGAACTCTCATTCATGTAGTTAGTGTTTTCTTCTTCCTCACTGTCTGAGTCTGATAAAGGATCAGGAGAGGGATTTCTGGGACCCATTGGAATACAACAGAAAGAGGGATCAGAACAAAGTAACAATCTATGCCAGCAAAACACTAACACTGGCAAAAAAAGAAAATGATGAAAAATCCTTTCAACAAGATTAATTTGTTTCTCAGTCCATTACACACATTATGCCTCTGGCTTACATCTCTGTGCAGCTCTTCAAGATTATGCTGTATATTCTTCAATTACAGAGAAGACAGCTCAGTTCTCAGGACCAGCTCAGTGTAAGTTAGTCACTTACCAGCGGCAAGGTTAATCTCTCCTTCACATCCCAGCTGCCAAGAAGAGAAGCTAGGCTGGCCAGTATTGCGAGTGTGGTCTCAAGTGGTCATGATGTTGTGAACAGACACTGGCATAGTCTGCTTTGTTGGCAGTGATATTATATCTACTTGGTAATGAAAAGAAACTCACTGGCTGCCTCCGGTGTTCGCTGGTGCAGGAGGGCAGTGGGGATCAGTTGTCAAGGACATTGGTGTACATGGAGCCGATGTTTTCCACCAGTGTGCAAATGCTCTTGGGAACTGGTAGCTTAGTTGTTGGACTAGCTGGAAAGGTAGCCTGAACCTGTGAAGGAGAAGACTAGAGACATGATAATAAAGCCTGAAAGCACTGGGTAACAGTACTGTCCATCCAGCCGCCGAGTGCCCCAGAATGTGGGCGCTGAATCTTTACTGGCTCTCCCATCTCTAGCTCACAGGCACTGGCAGATTTCCTACTATGAATGACTCCTACAGTCACAAAACTAGAAGAGGAGTCTGGCTAGTGGGTGTGTGAACATACTCTACAGGTATGAGAGAGGATGGCAGTTATTAAGCAGGCAGATATTACAGGCAGTACAATGAACGTAAACAAGTTAAACTTATAGTTACGAGGCAGATACTCAGATGATATGAAAAATAAAAGCAAGTTTCCATAATGTGCTGCTAAGAAGACATTTTAAATTAAGATGACAGAGAAAGGTCAAAAAGAAAAGGGTAAACAGGGCATTTCACAGAAGTGACAAGCAAACAAAGCTAGGGTAGCAGTCAGAATTCAACGAAGAAGATAAGGAATAAAAAATACAAGGGATAAATGGATGATAATACCTGCAAAAAGAACAGGGCAGGATAACAGACTCGTCATAAATATGTACAAAAACTGAAAGCACATCCTAAAAATATCTCAAGACTGATAAAATTGAGCAGTACGTATAAGCAGGGATATTAAAGGCAGAAAAATAGTTAAAATGCAGCCTACAAAAGGACTTACACATTTACCTTTTACGACAGAGAAAAAAAAATCAAGACCCTCAAACCAATAAAGGGGCTAGGAACTAGTCAACATGCGAGACCTCTACGAAGCATATAAAACTGTAATAAAGGACACAGAAAATAATTTAAAATAGACACATACTGTTCTTAGAGGAAACAAATATTCAAATTTAACATATAATCTCAATATGGTAAGTAGAAAATTCCGTACGTAGCCAAATCAACTATTTAAATGAAAATTCAAAGAAGGTTCTTGTTCTACAAGGTATAAACACATTACAGAAGTCACAGAGATGAAATAGGAGGGAATTACAAACAACCCAATGAAACGGAACAAAGCTCAGAAACAGAGCCAATATAAAATTTTGGAATGTAAAACACAATAAAATTAGAACATAAAACCAATGGGGAAACGCATTTAGCACATAATATTGGCAAAACTGGTTGATTATCTAAAGAAAAATAAAACTTTTATACCTATATAATGTCACATATAGAGGAAGGCTCATGAGGGAGTAAAGGCTAAATAATAATGCAATTACCTTACATATTTAATGTGTAAAACCATATAGTTAAGAGAATATAATGTAAGGGAATACTTTGTGTCTTCCTTCTCAGGGAGGCATTCTTAAATTAAAAAAAAAAAGTACAAGACTAAAAATGATGAATTTAACAAATCAAAATTAATCACTTCTAGACTGAACTAAAAACAAAGTCAACTACAAAATTATCAACAACAAAATGATAGCAACCTCAATAAAGAAATGGTGAAGGACAAAAATCCATAATCTACAGAAGAAAACATCCATTAGCCACAGGCTGAGAGAACACATCATTAGTACAGTAAAAATTAGGAAGCTAGACTGTGCCAAGTGTTGGGAGAAGATGAATGAACTCCTTGAGAGACCAGCACTGCTAGTGAATTACAGAATGGGACAGCCTTTCTGAAGAACAATCTGGAAGCACTACTTAGTCTAACTACTTGCACATCTCCCAATCCAGGGACTCTACTTTGCTACAATATGCAGCAGAAAAACAACCCCCCAAAGGAAAAACAACAAAACAAAATAAAACATGTACTGTGAAGTTTTGTCTTGGCTGGTAAGGAAGTGGAAGCACTCGGGGCTTCCAACTCTAGAGAAGCAGACATGCAAAATGCAGTGAAAACACATTAAAAGTAAACACAGCAACACACACAGGCTGAGGGCAGAGCTCTAACATAAAAAGCAAAGCCAGGTAGCAACAGCCCTCTATGCCACTCTATAGGAGTGATTTCCAGCGAGTCAATAAACATCTCCAGTTTCAAATACGCTGAGCTTTGTTAATACGGACATATGGTTTGGTTTCCTGTCAGTAATCGTCCCCTAAGGAGCATTCTCCTGCTTCTCTACACATTCTTTTTATCTAATTCAGTTCCCAGCAGTGTCTGGTTTATATTACAGGTCTAGTACATTTTTTGAAGGAATCAGTGACAAAATTATGATAGCCTGCTGTAAGTAACTATACAAATATGCTCCTTTTATTTTAGCAACACAAAATTTCCAGATTTTATTCAGGTAATTTGGCAAAATGTCCAACAAAGACAAATGAAGCTAATTTTTTAAAAGCAATAAACTACTGAAGGAATGTAGACAGAATTGTTCATAATTTTAAGAAGAAATAGGAAAGAAAATACTTTCAAGTTTAAATATTACCTAGTTCAATCTGAAACAAAAAGAAAATTTAATGTACCATGTCTTTATTTTATTGAGGTAAGACAAGCTGCTGGCTTTATTTCTTCTATCTGCTTACATTTCCACCACTTTCATTTCAACCAGGTCTCATCTGCAAGATTATTGGTTCTTGTGTTAAGCAGTAAATTCCTTAAAAGAGTCAACTTTACTTTAGCAGAAATAAGACAAAGTGTCTTTGAAGGTATATTTAAATTCTAGAGTGATCTCATCATTCTCAGGCCTTTATATTCCATGTGTATAATCTTCCATGTCAAAACTGAATTAATCACACAATCCATATACTCCAGGGATAACTTAATTTTAAAGAATAAATTTTCTAATTTTAGGACTAACCAGTTTACCAGACAAATTCTTTAGTTTTGCTATTTCTTCAACTAAAGTAAGTTTACAAAAGACAGGAAAAGATTTCCATTGTTGCTATTGTTTGTTTTCTTTTCTCACAGCAAAACTCAAGAAACAGGCTAAGCACTGTGACTATGATAGGAAGTTCAATACAGCATCTCTTTTTACCAGCTTTGTAGTAGCATGACTGAAAATTATATATTTGACATGTACAATGTGTTGTTTTATACATCTATCTATAGATGATGTATGATGTGATTACCACAATCCAGTTTGTTAACACATCATCACCTCATTCACCATTACCACTTCTGCATTTGAGAATACGAGACAACTATTCTCAGTAATTTTCAAGGATGCATGACTATTAACTATAGTCACTATGTTGTACTTGTTTTCTGGCCCTCACATTAAACCTGATGTTTATATGCTCTGACAACATTTCACCATCCTCTAGTCACTGTTTCTAATTTTTCACCATCGAAGATTCTACCCTTTGTTGCTGAGTTTGACTTTTTTTAGATTGCACAGGGAAGTAGCATCTTTCAGTATCTATCTGTGTTGGACTAATTTCACTAGCAGAATCTCTAGGTTGTTCCATGCTGTTGCAAGTTGCAGGATTTCCTCTTTTGACAAGACTGAATAGTACTTTGTTATATTATATGTAAACACATACCACATCTTCATCATCCACTCATCAGTGGACACAGGTTGTTTTCTTACCTTGGCTGTTGTGAATAATGCTGTAATAAATATGGAAGGGCAGATATATCTTTCACAGTAATTTTATTTCCTCTCAATATCTAACGAGATGTAGGACTGTTGAATCACATGATAGTTCTGTCTTTAATTTTTTGCAAAATCCCTATTCTGTTTCTTGCAACAGTTGTACCCACTTACCATTCCACCAGTGTATGAGTTCCCACTTATCCACATCCTTCCCAACACTTGTTATCTTGAGTTTTTGATAAGCCATCCCAACAGGTGGGTGTGCACTATGCTTTTGACATGCATTTCCCCAGTGACTAGTGACATTGAGCACCTTTTCATCTACTCTTTGGCCACCTGGATGTCTTCCTTGGAAAGATGTCTAGTTAAGTCTTTTGCTCATTTTCTGATCAGGTTATTTTTTTTTTGCAATTGAATTGGATGAGTTTCTTATCTACTTTAGACGTTAACCCCAATGGCATATATGGCTTGTAAATAATGTCTCCTATTCCAAAGGTTGCTTTTTCATTTTTAATCTTTTAACTTTTTCTTCAGATGATGATGTTCAAAAATTGCAAACAAAACCACTATTAATCCTGAAACAAATAAATCCAAACCTAGTTAGGCTGACCTCTGGTGGTCATATAACATCATTTTTCAGTAACTGACAAAACAGTACAAAAACTTATCTCGTTTGCGGCCAGATGAGTAAAATAAAAGAAAGGAAAAAGGAAACACTGTTAGAAAGTTCTGTCAAAGAAAGTACCAAAGGCAGCAAGCACCCAAAGCAGAAAGAGATCTAAGCAATACATGACCACAAAATCTCTAAAAACGTCCCTAAATATTAGTTCTAATTTTTAGTTTACCGGTTGACTTTACATGAAAATAAATAGTATATGCAATGGTTCTCAAAGTAAAAATAGTTTTTGCATTGTCCAGAGCAGTGTCTGGCACATTAAGATCCATGAGGTAAAGAATCGATCGCTATCAGAGTGTCAATTTGAGTATGAACCTCAAAACTACTGATTGAGAAAAGCAAAATGGGTATGATTATTCACGTGGCGTCAGAACATGGAAACCACGGCACACTCCGAAATGTATTTATAAGTCGTTATTACAGAAAAATTACCAGTAAGCTCACAAAACTCTCCCCTGCTAGGGAGGGAGGATAATTCGGTAGGGAAGGCGGACAGGCGGCTCGGAACTGCCTCTCCAGCGGCTGTGTACTGAGGTGTCCCTTCCTGTCTGGCAGGGTACCCTCAAAAGAGCAAGAGCAAAGACTCAGCTGCCGTTCGCAGCCCGCTGCACACTTCACCTCAGCCACTACCCCGAGCACTTGCCACTCCCACGTCTCTCTTGAAGAGTTTTGGAACTACAAGGCCTCGACAAGCTGTCTCTGAAGGAAACCGTGCTTCTCCCCGCAGCGCTTCCCAGCCCGCTTCCCTCCGCCTGCGCAGACCCCGCGCCGGCCGAGGGGAGGAGGCTGCGCCAGCCGGCAGCCGTCTCCCTCAGCCGGCCCCGGGATGTCTCCTCTCTAGCAGCGGCTGCCAGCCCGCCAGCGCGTCCACGCGTCCCTGCCGAACGGACTTCCGAACGCACCCTCCTCCCGGGACCTCCGGCTCCCCTTCAGTCGGAGCAGGGCCTCTTCCCCTCATCTGGCGCCCGGTTCTCACCCCTGGAGGATGCTTCCTTCTTTCTTTCTCGCTTCAAGCCCAGGCCCGCGACCGTTCAGGCCGAGCGCCAGCAGCCCACTTCCGACGGCCGCACCGGCGCTCCGGCGTTCCTCTCGGAAGACCTCACTTCCGGGAGAGCCCACGTCCCCTACTCCCCGACACGCCCCTTTTCGTCAGGGGCCAGAGCTTCGGCGCATGCGCCAAAGTGCACTGGGCGAGAGATGGGTGGAGCCACTTGTTTTCGCTTGCGCCTCCCGACCAGCTGGCGGCAGTCTCGCGATAGTTTCTTCTCCCGTGGGAGTTTTTGAATCTCTGGCGGTAACCACGCCCAGGACTCGCGTCTGAGACCCGGGGCCGGGGTAGAGGTGTTGTGGGTCCGCGGCCGTCGCCAGGGTTCGTCCCGATCGGGCACCATGGGGGCGGAGAAGAGGCTGCTGCCGATTAAAGAAGCCTTCCAGCTGGCGCAGCAGCCGCACCAGAACCAGGCGAAGCTGGTGGTGTCGCTGAGCCGCACCTACCGCACGGTAAGCGCGCGGGGCGCGCGGCCGCCGCCCGGACCCCCGCGATCCGGGACTCGTCGCACCGCGACTCCAGCTCCACTTGGAGC